AATAAATAAATGAGGGAAAAAAAAATATCTGGGTGGTGCAGGGCACCCAGGCTCCATTAGAGCACAGACTGGGATGGAATTCCTGCAGGCCCAAAAGGTGGGTGGGAGTGAGGGATGCCCGCACCTCCATTCACATAGAGGGTGTGGAGTATAAGAGTAACAAGGGGCATATCCCACCTTTTCAATCCTTCATGTCTGGAACTTCCTCAGTCCCCAGCAAGTGGAGCCTTGTTATTAGGTCCCTAGAATCTGAGAGAACATTGTCGCTTTAAATATCCAAAATGGTCGAACCACTTGTAAATATTCAAAATGACTGCGCCCTCCAGACAGGCAAATGTCCACAGCCCAGCCTGTCTCCCTCTTCCCTGCTTCCCTTTTTATTCACCAGCCACCAATGCAGTCCTCTAAGCAGCCTCTGGCTAGCAGGGCCGAGTTTTAGGTTACTTCTTAGGTCCTAACACTACTAGGCAATATCCAAGCTGTCCGTGCCATCAGGATTGTTGACAGACCTCAGCTTCATATGTCTCCTTTTTTGGTGTTTTCATGCAGGTTCTTCTACTAGTTGGAGTTTAGTCCACTTCTGTATCTTTCCTTTCAAAGCTCAGAGCTCCAGGATTATCTTCTGTATCTGTATTAATTGGTTCCCCTGTATTAATTGGTTCCCCTTTTCTTTATATAAGAGTGTCTGTATAGTTTGTCTGCCACCTTACCAGAACTCTACTTTAATGTTTTGTTGAGTGTTGTTCTAGGTATTTTGGAAAAAGTTAAAATTGTTGGTGACTAGAAAGCGATCATCTGATCTGAATTACAGCATTTCTCTGATTTCTGCTATTTTCCCTCTGTCCTTTACCATAAAGGGAGGAATAAGAGTGCAATTGGTCACAGTCAAACTGTGGAGAGATTATTTTAGTATGTCGGAAGTCTGCGTGTTTGGATGGAATCAGTAAGGAAGTGAATGTAGTTAGTGAAGGCACAAGGCTGGTGGCTATTCCTTGGAGTAGACTTTGGTAGAACAAGAACCTTGTATTAAATCCCTATCTATTCTTTGTTCCCAAGACTGTCAGCCTCATTCTTCATTCTTACACACATTGGCATACACAGTACCTTGCTGATCTAGAATGTGTGGTATGTTTTAGGACTCAGTGCTCATAGAGGATGTGGCCATAGTCTTCAGCCAGGAAGAGTGGGCTTTGCTGGATTTTGCTCAGAGGAAGCTCTACAGAGATGTGATGATGGAAATCTTCAGAAACTTGGCGTCAGTAGGTAAGAATGGCATCTTTTTATTTGTTTTAATTCCTTTACTCAGCAAAAATAGTTTACTCATCAACTTTGTTCATTTGTGCTGAGGAATCAGAATAAATTGTGAAATAAAAGAGGAATGATCCCTTGCTCTGTGGAGCTTACATGTCCTGGCTTCCCCATGAACATAAAGCTCTGTGTATGAAAGTTGGTTTTCATTTCATTTAGTGACTCAACACCTTGAGGCTCTCTCAGTATTGTAACTCTAAGCGTTGGCTTCAGCAGTCACCTTAGGACACTGAGAGATTTGTTTTGGGACCTTCTATGGAGTTAAACTGTATTTATTACAAGTTTGCCATAATTGTTTTGCTGCATATAAACTCAAACCTGTCCATTTTCATGGACACTGAAGAGGAAAGTATTGGCTCAGTGTCAGGGAAATGTTCATTGCTGTGCATTCATTGTCATTCCTGATGATATTCATTTCTTCATGATCACCATGTCAGCTATACCCACTTTTTATTCATAGAGAAACAAGGACAAAGGAGATAGGACTCATCCAGGGACACTGTCCCAGCGGGTACCAGAAGAGCAAGAATTTTTTTTAAGGACTAGCCCTGCATAGAGGGAATTACATTTGAATCAGTCAGCTAGAAAAAGTCTCTTTTGGATGGAAGTAAAAGTTCACTGAGACTTGGTTAACTTTTCTGACTTTAGTAATCCTCTCATGGAGGTCATGGAGACCTTTTTCTTCCTTTAGTGTTACATGTGTATTGTGTCCTATATGTTTCCACTTAGTTCTCCTAATTACACCTATTAATGCCAATGTTACTCTGTCTTCAGAGATTTATTTCCTAGTAAATTGCCTTTTACCCTTTGCCAAAGTGCTAAAACTGTGAATTGTGGCTAAATGTTTATTCCTCTAATAATTCCTTTCTTTTTTGTTTCATATCCCTCAACTTGAATTATTGGATTAGTCTCTCGAAACCTTAATGATGGAGAAAGGTTACGCAGTGAAAATAAAATGGTACAATTCATGAAGAATAAAATCTGGTCCTCAATGTTAGGAGCAATCCCTGAATCTTATGGCAATGATGATCACCATAAAAACCAGAAGAGACATTTGAGGTGAGTGTCACTTATGAAGAGAAAATAATGCCTTAGGAGAAAGTCTTAGGTGTCATGACATTATATACTTGTATGTGTATATATATATGTATATATATCTGTGTGTGTGTATGTATATGTATATAAGCTTTATATATATACGTGGTTGGTAAATTAGAGGGTCACTGAAAAAAAGGAAGATGCTCATAGAGATGGATGGTGCAGGATTGGGCAGTGTTTCTTTCTTTTGTACATAAGGTTGCTGTGAGTTGGATGCAACCTGATAGCACCTAACAACAATGTATTTAAATATAGCTGTAAAATTATGTGTTCAGAGAATTTTTGCAATATAACATCTTTGTAAAAGTGAGTCAGATATTAAGTATTTAAAACATTTAAGGTGAAGACAATTATCAGAAAGCCACATATTTTAGAAAAACTGACAGTAATGTTAGTTTTTTGTTAGCTGATTGAACCTGTGAAACATGAGACGAGTCAGGGCAAAAACCATGCACATCGCACATTCCTTGTGTTAGGTAATGGTTTAATGGGAAAAATTTATTTCCAACAGCATGTGGCCTATTTTTAACAAAAGTCATGCAGTAGAGAACCTCTGCGGAAGTAATGAAGGCAATCATTGTGGGAGACCCTTCAGCCACATTCCAGATCTTACTGTGCTGAAAAAAAATCCTTCAGAAGTAAATCGTTTTGAATGCTGTGTGTGTGGGAAAGCTTTCATGGATGACTCATTACATAACCATCACTCCAGATCTCAGACTGGATGTAGTGCCTGTCAGTGTAAGGAATGTGGAGAAGCCTGCAATTGCCTCTCTGACCTAACCAGTCCTATGAGAAGTCTTCATGGAAAGAAACCTCATAAATGCAAGGACTGTGGGAAGGACTTCATTTGTATCTCAGTGTTTAAGAATTCTGTGACAGCACTCACTGGTGAGAAACACTATGAATGTAACAAATGTGGGAAAGATTTCTGTAGTTTCTCATCATTTTGGACGTATATGAGAAGTTGTAAATCTGAATGTAAAGAATGTTGTGAAACCTATAATCATCCTTCATCCCTCATTTTATGTAAAAAAATTCCTAACAGAAATAACCTTTATGAATGTAATGAATGTGGGAAAGGCTTTACTGAGGCCTCATCCCTCACTCAACATACAGGAAGTCACAGAGGAACAAAGCCTTATGAATGTAAAGAAAGTGGGAAACCCTTTAGGTGTTCCTCACACCTCACTAAACATATAAAAACTCACAGTGGAAAGAGGTCTTATCGATGTAAGGAATGTGGGAAAGCTTTTAGTCAGTCATCAAACCTCACTACACATATAAGAACTCACAGTGGAGAGAGGCCTTTTAAATGTAAGGAATGTGGGAAAGCCTTTAGGTGTTCCTCACACCTCACAAAACATATAAAAACTCACAGTGGAGAGAGGACTTATGAATGTAAGGAATGTGGAAAAGCCTTTTGTGAGGCCTCATCCCTCACTCAACATATAAGAAGTCACAGTGGGGAGAGGCCTTATAAATGTAAGGAATGTGGGAAAGCCTTTAGTCAGTCATCAAACCTCACTACTCATATAAGAACTCACAGTGGAGAAAGGCCTTTTGAATGTAAGGAATGTGGGAAAGCCTTCAGGTGTTCCTCACACCTCACTGAACATATTAGAACTCACAGTGGAGAGAGGCCTTATGAATGTAAGGAATGTGGAAAAGCCTTTAGAAGTTTCTCAGCCCTCACTGCACACATGAGAACTCACACTGGAGAGAGGCCTTATGAATGTAAGCAATGTGGGAAAGCCTTTAGTTGGGCCTCATCTCTAACTATACATATGAAAGCTCACAGTGGAGTTAAACCTTATAACTGTAATCAGTGTGGGAAGGCCTTTAGTTATTTGTCAGCCCTCACTACACATACTCGAACTCACAGTGGCGAGAGACCTTATGAATGTAAGGAATGTGGGAAAACCTTTAGTTCTTCTTCATCCTTCTGTATACATAGACGGACACACAGTGGAGAGAGACCTTTTGAGTGTAAGAAATGTGGGAAAGCCTTTAGTTATTCCTCATCTCTTACTACACATGTAAGAATTCACAGTGGAGAGAGGCCATATGAATGTAAGGAATGTGGGAAAGCCTTTAGTCAGTCCTCAAACCTCACTACACATGTAAGAATGCACAGTGCAGAGACCTTATGAATGTAAGGAATGTGGGAAAGCCTTGAGTTGTTCCTCACACCTAACCTCATTTATAAAACCTCACAGTGGAGAGACTACTTTGGAAGTGGGATGTTTCATTCTTACTGCTATACTTTCAAACACCAAATTTCTCAAAGTCTAGGATTAAAGAACAAAAGTACTCAGTGAGTAAGAACGTGATACTAACTAACAAACATGGAAATTTTAGAGCTACTTTGTGTCTTTGGGAAATATTTTATTGTAACTCTGGGGCTACCCTGATCAGTGTTTGTTTCTTTCTCAGTGCAAGCTAAATTTTACTTTTCTGGAATTCCCTTTGTATTACAAGTAAGGCTGCAGGGAGTAGCCTTGAGGAAAATGTGGCTTTACCTTTTTAAAACTATGTTTCATTAATGTTATTTTGCATTTAATAAAATGTGCATTTTATTAACCAAATATATATCTTATACTTGGTTTAAAAGTGCTTTGTTTTGTTTCCATATTCATCACATTTTCTCCCATTCTCTTGTAAGACTATTTTATCCCATACATTAATAAGTTTCTCCAAAGGTGAGTAAGTTTGAGAGACTATGCACATATTCAGTTTTATATCATATTGTGGTTTACTAATTTTAACATTTGATAATTATTCATAATTGATAATTAGTATCTATTTCTGTGTTAATTACCAAATGATATTTTTTGTTCCAGTAATATCTACTATATTTTATTAATTGGAATTCTGCAAAGAAAAGCTTTTCCTTTTCCCCCATTATTTATTTAATAAATTAGCATACCAGTATATGCTAATCCATATTACTTATATTTTTTTCATTTCTTCCTAAAATTCTTCCATAATTGGTTATTAGAAGCTGCTTTAAATAGGTTCTGTATTTTTATTTTTACTTTTTTAAAATATTCTCATTGTAATTAATACATTATTTTCTGGCAGAGTTCAAAATTCATTGTTTCTTTTTACTACCTGAGCCCTAAAATCACACTTTTCTCCAAGAAACCTTGTTTCCTTTTATTAGAGAATGATGTGTGGAAACAAAGATCTGGATATTGATTATGCTTATTGCTACTAGGCCCTCAGAGTGGGAAGAGCTAGGAAGTGTGAGTGTGGTGCTTAAAGGTGTGTGTCAACTTGGCTGGGGCTTGGTTTTGAGTGGCTTGGCAGCTGGATGCAGTTATTTCCCATCATGAGATTGGATGTGGTGTATTCAAGTCCATGGTGGAAACTATTGTCAGTTGCCTTTGGGTTTTGGCCTGCTTCCAGTATATGTGGAGAAGCTTTGAGAACAGTCTCTAGGTTTTTGTCCCTTTGCATCTATATTTGGCTGAGTCTTCTTCATCTCTTAATTTCTGGACTTCAATCAGTGATCTGCTGTGTTACCTGCTCATCACAGGGTTGTGTCATTTTCACTGGTGATCTTGGATTTGTCAGCATCAGCAACCAGCAACTGCCTAAGTTAGGAGATGCCTCCAGGTCCAGTGGGCCTGGAATAAGAGGCAGAACTGAAGCCCATAGTATGAGGGGCCTTCACCTAGTCCCTAGTGCTGGCACTCTGAATTTGGACTTCTAGCCTCCTACACTGTAAGAGAGTAAATTTCTATTTGTTAAAGCTATCTACTTGTGGTATTTCTGTTGTGGCAACACTAGAGAACTGAGACAGTGTGTATATACATACAAAGACACATCTTTAATACCTGTTTTTTTGTGGATCTGTATATATTTTAAAAACCACAAGATCATAGCCATATCTATTCTTCCAATCCAGCACCACAAGGTTCATTTTATCCTTTTCTTTTCTTTGTACTCCTTTATCTCATAGTAATACTCCTGGCTCGTATTATCTACAATATGTTATTTGCTGAAACTTCGAATATACATAGAGGAGTTTAAAATTTGCTAACTATGAGGTAATGAACCACCTTGCAGAAAGCAATTTGGTCTTTGAGGTTCCTGAGAGACTACAGTTGAGGCTAATGTGTGAGGGCAGGTAAGATCAGATGGGCCACCTTGTGGCCTGATGCTAACCCTTGAGGCATAATTTAATGTATCTTATAGAACTAGTCAATAAAAGCTGGAAGCCAAAGGCTTTAGGGGACTTCCAAGTTGGAGAAAAATTTCCACCCATATGGTAGAATATTCATGCAAGCTCTGCATTAGGATCCTCTCAGACTTGTCCCATTCTCTCTTCATTTGTATCTTTTTTTGTTACAGCTGTTATCCTAATGATGGTTTTTTTTGTGAAATCTTAAAGCCATTCCGGTAAGTTATTGAACTGAAAGGAGGGTCATAAATTAGGGGGCTCTACAGTGTCTAAGGCATTTGGCTAGTAACCAGAAGGTTGATAGTTCATACACATCAGCCACTCCGCAGAAGGAAGGAAGATAAGGCAATCTACTTTCATTAAGATTTTCCACCTTGGAAACCCAGTGGGGGTCACTATCAGTCAGAGTTGACTTGATGGCTTTGGGTTTGGTTTGTTTTGGTTTTAGTCCCCTGATCTTGAGGTTGGGATTCTTTTTTTTTGGGGGGGGGTGAAGGTTTACAGAGCAAATTCCCTTTCTATACAGTGGTTCACATATACTTTGTCTCATGACATTGACCACAGTTTACCACAATGCAACAGCTCCCCTCCCACTTCCTCCCTATAGTTACTTGAGGTTGGTATTCTAAGGGAATGAGGACAACCCCCAGACTGAGTGAGGAGATTAGAAGTTGGGAGTTCTTTATGCTCCCAAATTTGCATTGAGGACACAACCCCCCAGTCAAGAAAGGGAGGTTACCTCCGGGGATGACAGAAGTGGCAGGATCCAGGTAAGGGGCTGGGAAACGGACCCAACCCACCAGACAAGAAAGGGAGGGAACCGCCAGGGACAACAAATTGGCAGGATCCAGGTAAGAATTAGGTAAGTAGAGGGCGGAGAGATTTCTGATAGCTAAAGGAGATGAACTTGTCTGTCAGTTTGTCATCCTGTGGTGGCTTGTACATTGCTGTGAGGCTTGAGGCTGTGCCACCAGTGTTTCATAAGCCAGCAGGGTTGCACATATTACACGTTTCAACACAGTTTAAAGAATGAGACAGACTAGGAAGAAGGAGGAGGCCATCCACTTCTCAAAGAACTGGCCAGGAAAAACCTTAGAATAGCAGAGAAACACTGTCTTATACATTACTGCAGAACATTATGAATAGCCTGGAAACGTCCAATACATCACAGGAAGATGAGCCCCTTAGGTCAGAAGGCACTCAAGGTATGACTGGGAAAGAGTTGCTTCATCAGTGTAGAGCCAACCTTAATGATATGGGTAAATTAAATCTTGCAGGACATCCATTTGCTGATGTGGCATGACTCAAATCGAGAAGAAACTTCTGCAAAGATACATTAATAATTGGAACATGGAATGAACAAAGTATGAATCTAGGAAAATGGGAAGTTGTCAAAAATGAAATGTAACACATAAAGATTGATATCCTAGGCATTAGTGAGCTGAAATGGACTGGTTTTGCCCATTGTGAATCAGACAACCAGATGATCCACTGTGCTGGGAATGATAATTTGGAAGAATGGCATGGCATTCATGATCGCAAAGGAAGTTTCAAGATCTATCCTGAAGTACAGTGGTGTAAGTGATAAGATAATATCCATATGCCTACAAGGAAGACCAATTAATATACTACTATTACACAAATTATGCACCAACTACCAAAGCCAAAGATGAGGAAATTGAAGATATTTATCAACTGGTGCAGTTTGAAATTGTTTGAACATGCAATCAAGATGTGTTAGTTATCACTGGTGAATGGAATGTAAAAGTTAGAAACGAAGAATCACTGGGACTTGGAAAATTTGGCCTTGGTGACAGAAATAATGCTGGAGCTCACATGATAGAATTTTGCAAGACCAACAACTTATTCATTGCAAATAACTTTTTTGAGCAACACAAATGGTGGCTATACATGTGGACTTCGCCAGATGGAGTACACAGGAATCAAATTGACTACATCTCTGGCAAGAGGCAATGGAAAAGCTCAATATCTTCAGCCAAAACATGGCCAGGAGCTGATTGTAGAACAGACCATCAATTGCTCATGTGCAAGTTCAACTTGAAGTTGAAGACAATTAAAACAAGTCCTTGAGGGCCAAAATATGACCTTGAATATATCCCTCCTGGATTTAGAGACTATCTAAAGAGTAGATTCGATACATTGAATACCAGTGACTAAAAACCAGAGGAATTGTGGGATGGCATCAAGAACATCATGCATGAAGAAACAAGAGGTCATTAAAAAGATGAGAAAGGAAGAAAAGACCAAAATGGATGACAGAAGAGATTCTAAAACTTGCCCTTGAATGGAGAGTACCTAAAGCAAATGGAAGAAATGATAAGATAAAAGAGCTGAACAGAAGATTTCAAAGAGCAGCTTCAGCAGACAAAGCCAATTACTATAATGAAATATTCAAAGACCTGGAGTGAAAAAACCAAAAGGGGAAGGACACACTCAGCATTTCTCAAGCTGAAAGAAGTGAGGAAAAAATTTAAGCCTCAATTTGCAATATTGAAAGATTCTATGAAAAATCTTTCAAGTGCTGAGGAGCAAGGATGTCTCCTTGAGGACTAAGGTGCATCTGACACAGGCCATGATATTTCCATTCGCCTCGTAGGTGTGTGAGATCTGGACAATAAATAAGGAAGACTGAAGAAGAGTTGATGCTTTTGAGTTGTGGTGCTGGTGAAGAATGCTGAAGGTACCATGGACTGCCAAAAGAACTAACAGATCTGTCCTGGATGAAGTGCAGCCAAGATGCTCCTTGGAAGCGAGGATGGCCAGACTTCGTCTCACCTACTTTGGTCATGTGGTCAGAGGGGACCATTCCCTGCAGAAGGATGTCATGCTTGGTAAGGTGGAGGGTCGACGAAAGAGGGGAAAGCCTTTGACAAGATGGATTGACATGGTGGCTGCAACAATGGGCTCAAGTATAGCAAGGATCATGGAGCTGGCGTGGGATCG